ACGGTAAACCTGCACTATAACCGAGTTACTCCAATGAAGGACAGGACCAAAATTTCTTGCTTGAAAGAGAAGATCCATCTTCAGAGCTGTTGAACAATGTTGAGATTAGTGTAGTACAAATCATGCAGTCTGGCTTACAACCAGCTTGTTTCAGCGCCTAAAAAGCTCCAAAACCCCTACACTTGGCATCCCATGTCATGTCAAAACAACTACTTCAAAGCCTTAAAAAAATGCTTAATACCATTCACGTTGCAGCAAACTGAAAGAAGCATATTATATCAACAGTCCCTTTGCATAATCAAGCTATGTACTCGACATAAACCATGGAGCCTATAGGTGGCCTGTCACAAGTCATCTCTTCTCCTCCAGTAATCCTGCTAAGCAATAAGCAACAAGTAAGCAATGCAAAGCTTACACCATATCATTCACTGTTAACTTTCACAAAGGCTGGCTTAAATTCCATGCTTGGCAGACTCTGAATCACGTAAATATGTGGTAGTTATTCTCTCTGTCCCAGTAGAGAATTTTCCTCCTCTTTAGTGCTACTGATATCAGATATAAAATCAGGTGTGTGTGTGAGAGAGAGAGAATTTACAGTGGATTGCCACTTCACTCTTTTGTTTTTTATTTTTTCTCATCTAGAACATTTTACTCTTCCCTCACTGCACCAAAAAGGCTTGCAATTTTCAAAAGCAGCGTGTGAAGGTACAGTTGAATACCCATTCTTTGTGTGGGTGGCAGCAATGTGATAATGTGCGTAGGCATCTCCCCCAGAGAGGAGTGCCTCCACCCACTAGGTCCTGGTGGTTCCACAGCGCCCTGCAGGGAAGACCTCCCTCATTACACACACACACGAATTTTTTTTTTAACCTTGTAAACAATCAAAATGTCTAACTTTGTCAAATTAGAAACGAAGATCTATTTATCTTGGGTATACTATATCTCCCAGCGGAGCTGGGGTCTTTGCTATAATAGTACTACACAATAGGAATAAAGCAGGTAGGTAGAGAACAAAAACAAGTGCCCACACCTGGACATATTCTATAGCAAGGAAAAAAGCTATTTTGATTCACTAAGATCAAGGTACAGTTCAGTATAGTACTTTTTTCTTTTATAAGTACAGAATTTTTTAAACTCTTACAGATTCGAAAATTCATGGCCTCTATTGTGGCAAGAAACTGTGCTGTTGGGATCCAAGGCAGTCCTCCTACAAACACCAGATAAAGTAATAATATCACAAATTATAAATACTAACCTGTAGCCAGCAACTTTAGTCACTACTTTATTTACTTTTAACTTTATAGTATATCTCTTATTGTGTGTACTATATACCATCTTTGTAAAACAGAATCATCAAACTCTTTATTTAAAGTTGCTATTTTGGCATCGGCGTCACATATTCCATTTTTCGAATATCCATTTTTACTTATGGCAGATGCTCTCAATTCAACGATCCAGATTTGTGACACTCCAAAGCAATGGTGCGGATTGTTACATGGTGGCAAAGAGCTTGGTTTTAGGTTTAAGAAACAGTTAATATGGCTGTCCGTATCTGGAGCATATTGGATGCTAAAATTTTATTGTGGGAGAAGAAGCGCATCGGATGAGAAGTAGAACTTTCCCGTCCCATATACTGTACATCCAAGACCTCAAGAAGAAGGTGACATCAGAGGTGATTTTTGTTTCAGAATTTCTGGACGATACAGGTATTGCTCAGAAGAAAAAACAAATTTACTGCTTCTCTAGGTACTCTAACATTCAAGCGAATCCAGGGTGCCTTGCAGCATTTTTCCAGTCCAGTGAAGCTGATCAATGGCATCGCAACAAAATCCAGTGAGTTTTGTTTTAGAAAAAAAAATGACTACCATCTTTGGATATGCCTGTACAGCTTGCTTTGTGTAGCTCTAGGAGATGTAGTCGAGGTTCTGGTTGGAATAGGTGGAGAGGCAAGAGCTCAGGCTGGGAAGCAACATCCTTGGAAGCTCTCCAAACAGGATCCGATTGATGCACATGTCTGCCTGGGTGGAGGTGCGCTCTCTGTTCCTCATTACCAGAGCTCACTGCCACAGATTCTGGAGAGTGCAAGAGACTGTTGGACTTCCAGGGAGTAGTTAGTGGAAAAGGTAGCTGACCTGTTTCATCACTTTGTTTCATTTCTGTGCTGCTGCAGAGTGACAACTTGCACACCAAGATAGAGGAGGATGAGAAAGAGAAGCTGTAGAAAAAGCAAGCCCACATCCCATCTCTGTGGCCATGTGTCTGAATCCATCTGTGCTGCAGGGAAGAGGAACGTCAGCTCCAGAAGAAGAAAAAGAGATGAGCAAAAGGCCCTTCCTGTCTGTCATTTTTGGACGAGGTTGACAGTGACACTGATGAAAGGGAAATGACAGCGATGAAGGCGAAATTGACAGCGCTGGTATGGTTTGGCAGCTTCAATCAAATCCAGTAAAAGATGAGAGGTGGCAGATGAACAGAAAAATAAAAAAACTGGGCAAGTTTGGGATCTCACCAGTATGGGGAAGACTGGGTAATGCTTTGCGTGTTTGTGTTTTTTCCAACCATGCTGTTCGTGATTCCAGTGGAAGTTCTCGAAGGCCAACTTAATCTTTTGAGAGTCGAGCTAGGAGAAGTTCACTCACAAAGCTCTTGGGAGGAAAGAGGTGGATCAGATGCCATGGTAAACACGTAAACCTCCTATTTTCTTTCATTTTTTCCTTCAGGAATTCCATCTCTTGTTGCCAAGCCGCTGGGGTGTAGGGAATTAAAATGCCTGATTTGGTAAATTCATGAAGCCTTGTTCCGCTTTTCCTGACGAACACTGTAGGTACTCCAAAGGCCTCAGCTACGATTCTATACTGGACTGGGACAGCAACGCTGCTTCTTGATCTTCCTCACATTCGTTATTATTCTTCTCAGAACTAGGTAGCCACAATTTTCACTAAAATCTAAAACAAGCACTGACTAAAGTCACGCAGATCCGAGTTCATTAAAAATCCTGGACCGCATAAGGTGCTGGTATAGTAGCATAAAAAAAGTTTTTATGATGCTAATCAAAATCTCTCTCTTTTGCACTTCTTTTTAGGTGAAATTTATTCTTTTTTCTGACACAGAAGAGCGTGCATTTCCATTCAGAAGAGAAGCGGCCAAGAAGGACTCTGAGTTGATGTCTTTCGGATGTGTTTTGTGGAGGCAAGAGGAAGCTTCAATTTTGAAAAGCCGGTAGTTTTAGTGATAATCACGTGAATTGATTCATGCTTTTGCGTGTGGAGCAGGTTTGGATTAGAGTTGGCACCGGCAGTAGTTTTCATCAAAGATCCAGGTGTCCAGCCCATAACTGTTTATGGTAAAAATCTTCTTTTCGGCAGCTTTGAGATAATTTCTTTCACTTTGCGGGTAAATTGCAGGTAAATTGCGTGACTCCTTCATGGAAACTGTGGAAGAACATAAAGTTCATGGTAAGTAGTATGTAGGCTCTTCCTCCTTTTGCTATCTTTTGAATTGCAATTTGATGTGCGTGCTTTTATTTCTTCCTCAGCTGCAAAGCATCACGGCTTCCAAACTTGGATGTGATCCCGCGGACTTCTCTGCAGCTGGAAAAGATGTAGAAACATGGTACTGCATTGTGGTTGCTGGAAGGCCTGGTTTTCAGCTTGATCAACTCTGCAGTGTAAGATTTTCTTTCTTGTTGTTTCTAGCTGACGAGTTTCTCATTTTAGACGATGAGAATTGTGCAAGATGAGCTCATGTAAGTGAGGACATTGATAGCCAAAATTTTGCTGCTGCCACTGCATACAAAGACAAGCATTTGAGCCTATCATGGCTTGACGGCGAAATGTAAAAGGTGGATACTTATATAGCTCGCTGGTTAATTAATCCTTGTTTTTGTGCAGAAATTTTGCTATTACTGCCTCCCTTCTGAACCCGTCCATGAGACTTGCAGGCCGTACCAAGTGCAAGACGTGGCAAGAATTTTGATGATACGTTTTAGAAGAGATCCAACATCAAAAGCCGGTGGTGAAGAGAATCAATACCTGGTGGCGTTTGAATTATGAGGAGCCAGATTTAGCATCAATGCTTATTGCTCCATACAGTGATGCAAATGAAATCTCAGAGGTTGGTTGGTTGGTTTCATTTAGACTTTTTTCTCTTTTCTTTGTTATACCAAAGAGTTTTTCTGCAGGTTTTATCGTGAATTTCTAATAGTGTTCATGATGGCGACACAAATGAAATTCCATTCTTTGTAAGTGTTGTGGTGTTTTGAAAGTTTGGAGAACTCTTGACTGTGGGATTTTGTTAGAATACTAAGTCGATGCCTGCGTTAATACCCGAGGAGCAAGCAGTCTTGATGCTCTCTTCAACACGGAATGCTGTGAGGGAATGAGGAGATTTATAAATAAAAGTTTGTTTAGAAATTACAGATTGTGCATGTTATTAGCTTCTATGCACTATTTGGCAGAACAAAAAGGGAACACTACATTTAATAGAGTATGCATGACTGTAAGCTTTTAATTTTGTTGATGTTTCTTGTAAAAAAAATTATAAATTGAGCTAAAGGACAAAAGAAAATGTAATTCAAAATAAAGATATTACATAAACAATAAAAAATTAAAAAAATATTTTAGAAGAAACTAAATTTTCTTTTCAGGATAAGAGCTTCAAATAGACTTGTTACATAGTTAGAGAAATTTTTCTTAGAGTTCATATTAACTTTCTTTCTAAGCATTATTGGTTGTACAAAACTTTTGGTTCCATACTAGAGGGATGGCTGGCTGGATCCCTCCTGGGTTGAGAGGGAACAAGGCCCCATAGTACTAGCAATCACAACTTGAACAGATGTGTAGGAAGCTGGTATATCTATCACATGTAGCCATAAAGATTCGAAAACTACAACAACTTTTGCTTGAAGCACTTGAAAAGAATGTGGTAGACAGCAACAAACCTGTACAACGTCGTGAACAGCCGGATGTCTGCCGGAGTGAGCGAGTTGCCACACAAAAATCTCAAGCACTGAAGGTGTTTCTCAACAGTTTCGAGTTGTTCCCTGTATTATAGAATTAAAAATGAACAATTTTAGAATGGATTAGCAATGGGTTTAAAGAAGATAGCAGAAAAAGAGATGCTAAGAGATAGCGAGCTCTTGATAAAGAAGAGATTGAGCTTGCAATCTTGATAAGCAGGATTGAACCACTTACACAGATATCCCAAGAAAACAAAAGTCGTGATGTAGCACACTAAGGACACAGCAAGCAAGGCATTATACCTGTGAAGTGTGCATCTTGTTCTATGTATAAAAGGTAAAGAAACGAGGAAGAACATTACCAGAACTGACTCTCTTTGGCAATCCATGCAGCATTCCAGTTGTATGTTGAGAGTCTTCCTGCCAGAAGAACAAAGAAACTATGGTTATAAATCCAAGAGAAAAGCACTAGATTTACTGTCAGCATCCACAATGTCATTGGGAAGAAGGATGAGGCAAAGCACAGTGAGACCAGACCAGACGATAAGAGCTTGATCATTCAGTTGCCACGATGCCAAGAGTCCCTGTGATTGCTTTGGTACTTCCCAAAGCTCTCATGTGTAGAACAGCTTGTGTGCCAAACAAATCCTTGCCAGGCGAGTAAGGGAAGTGATTAATCCCTGGAAGCGAAAAAAAAGTAGGTGTTGTTGCAAATCACAAGAACTTACACGGGATTTTCTCACGTGAGGTCATGCAGCATCCATGCGAGCAGCAAGGAGAGTGCGAAGAGGCTGCAATACCCGATTCTTGCCAATCGGCAAGAGATGCTGCTCACTAATCCCTCACAAGCCTGGCAAGCGTAAGCTGTGCAGCTGGACGCTAGACAAAATGTCGCCCACATCATCAGATGCTCGCTGGATCAAGAAGCAAAACCTTAGAATTTGATTACATTGTCCCTCGCTTTAGATTTTTTTTTATAACACTAATGCCATGTTGTTCTGTTGTAGATTTTCTATCGTTACAGAACTGAAAGGCAGAGAGTTTATGGTTGCAGTATTCTTGCAGTGATCTGGGTGGGATAAAATCCTAAATTTTGTGTTGTATAGCTGTTTTACAGTTTTGGAGCCTATTGAAATATCCAGTGTTTGCTCGAAATTTCCCAGCGAGGAGCGCACTGGCAATGCAGCAGCTTTGTGCACTGGCGCTCTCAAGTTATCGTCACTGCAGCCACTGATATGAACGTGACTGGCCGCTCAATCGATCAGATGCCATATCTGAGCGCCAATGCCATACCATTTTAAGGTTTCTATTTCCTCCAAGTTGTCCAGATAGCCAGCTGAGTAAATCCCAGGCTGTTCACTGGGAATCCACAGCAGTGTGGCAGTCACTGCCTTCCTGACATTCTCGAGTTTTCTCAAAAAGTGGTACCATGAGACGGTGCTCAAGCCGGGACAGCCTCCACTTCCACCGGGATCTTTGGCAACGTGGCTGCTTTTCTCAGAGGCTTCAAGTCTGGAAGACCGACTACATTGCAAAGTTGAGTGATCTTGTACTTTCTTTCGCTTGTTTAACTGTCGCTTTTTCTTGGTTTCAGGTATAATCGAGTTGGTTTTACAAGGCGTTTCTGTTCTGGCAGATGCAAATTTGTAAAGACAGCTTTGAGACAGGATGGCCGGAGAGCACTGTTGTGCTCATTGGACGAAATTTGTTTGCAGGGTTAACTGGAAAGAGCCACTTGAAGCTCCAAGCCCGCTGTGAACAATCCCAAAGCTCTCAAGCAGTATGTGCCCCTCATCGTCAACAACATAAAAGCGTCCCTTGTGAGGTGGTCTACGCAGGATAAGATCGTTCTTCTTACCAGTAAGCAATTGTCTTAGTTTTCTTGTTGACACTGGTTTTTTCTGATATGACAGTTCACGTTTCTAACTGTCCTCTACATTTTATATGGGAAAGACTCCAGTCTCGACATGGAAGAGACTTTCTCCTTCTACTACATTGTCAACCAAGGCATTCAGGCTCTCCCCATCAACTTCCTCGGCACTGCCTACAACAAAGCCATATGCGTTGTACATAGCTTTGTGACGTTTTCTCATTTTCAGGCCGAGGCAAAAGCTTATCAAGCTTATCCAGGACGTGATCAACCAATGCTTCTGGAAAGCCGCAGGAAACAAGCATTCTTTCATTGCTCATGGATCAGCCGGATGACAAAAAAGAGGTGCTGGAAGACGCTCATATCATAGACATGCTCAACATGTACATGAATGCTGGTCACGACTCAACGGCTCATGTCATCATGTGGCTGATGATTTCCTAAAGAAAAATCCATGATGTGCTTGAGAAAGTGAAGATAGACATTTCCAATTTCATACAAACTTTCCTTCATACAAAATTTCTTCTTTAGGCCACATCCAGACTATTCTGTAAGAGTTTCAAAACTTCTGTAATTAAAAAAGAAAAAAGTATTCTACTGAATTGTACCTCATACAAGATGATACACTATGTATTCTCATGCCTCCACTGTTCTAATTCATCTCTGTCGCTTCTGTATTTCGAAGGAAACACTATTTATAAAAACTCTACATTTATGGTTACCCTTTTTTCCAATGGACCTAATGACGACATGTTCAAGATAGAGACAAACTGGTAGGTATTCTTAAAGAACCATAGAACTGAACACCATCTCTTTAAGGGCAATCTATGAGGCGCTTGTGAGGCTCTGAAGTGTTAACCTCCTCTGGATATCTTTCAATAACGAGAAAAAACCTTTAACCTATGAAAGGTACTTTTTCACTGCTTCTTTCATGTTTTATGGAGTCAAGTTACAGCTTCTGGAATTCTATGAGCAGCATCTGAGGAATGTCTAGGGAATGAGAAATAGTAAGGTGTAGTATGATATTTTCTTGTTCTAATAAATAGTTAAATAGGAGTACATTGTACTGCCTGTTGTAGCCTTTGTGGCTTTGCTTGACTACAAAATAATGCTTACAAAGTCAGAATGACACAAGTAGAGATTTCATAAAAAAAAGTCAGTCTCTTGCCACTTCACTCTCAAACAATGAAAGCAAATAATGAATCACCCAAGACAAAATGTGGAAGAAGAATAGAATTGGATTCAGCACCTTTGCGAATACCCAGACAGACACATATCCTTGCAAGAGGAAGAGATCTAACATCAGTTGCATTGCCTGACACTAGATTCAGGAGCTTCCTTAGAATGGCTTGTGGTGGCAGGGAGCATAGAAACATGAATTCAGGCCACAAAGGTCACCATTTCAATCTTATTATCAAAGGGTCCTTAACAAATGTGTTACAATCCACTGCTACAAAAACTAACATCGTAAATTCGTGCAAATAATGGTATCCTAAGATCACAATCTCCTATTTCAATAGTCCAAGCTAACACATTATTGCAAATGAGAAAAGATGAGACCTTGTAGTAAGTAGAAAAATAAAAAGCTGATAGTTGGCCTAAAGAAGGATTTTAGAGAAAAAAACATATAATGGATTTGGCATTTGAAGCAAGAAAGAATAAGGAAGGTTGCTAATCTTATGAAAAACATAGTAGTATTTATATTGGAAAGTAATTTGTTTTCTGCTATTTAGAGAAATCTTTGGTGATGTAGATATTCCAAACATGCAATTCTTATGAATATCTCAAAAATATCATTATTTTTTTAGAAAACACTACTCTTGAAGACTTAAGAAACTACAAGAAAAAGCTTTGTTAGCTTCTTCTTGGATATGAAAGAAAAACTTGAGCTACCTTCTGCAGTTCCATAAGCTAAGGAGTCCTTGCTGGTACATCCAAGCACATGAAGTTCCTTGGGTGTTAAGTCTTATCAAGTGGTGGGCTATTCAATGAGCATGGTAAAAATTAAAAATAGGTTGAGAAAAAGGAGAAACAACATGTCTTACAAATAGCAGATAGATTTTAAAAAAAAAGTTAGAATTTATGCTAGGGTCCTCCCATGATTAATTTAAATGATGATATTAAAAAATATCACAATAATCCAGATAAATTCAAATAATACAGCTTTTTAATTATTGATAATGTAGATACTGAATAGTTCTATTACTAATGCAGTAATATTAATGGCATGCATTGGAAATTGGGATTAGAGCAGTAATAAAAATGGAATTTTGTCACACATAATGACATCTTAACACTTCTATGACAATATAGATTTACTTCTTCTGGTAAGCAAAGAAAATCCATTATATCATTCACCATTATAGTGTTCAGAAAATGGTAATAATATCAATAATAAGCACTATTTTATTATAACATGATAATAATAAAACAAAATGATCACATTATATATATAGCTTATCTTTTCTAAAACTTGCATTTTTTATCTATTTGCATTATTGTGCATTTATTTAGAGGTGAAGAGTAGCAAAATTAAGATAAATTTAACTTTGTATACAATCAAAATTTCTAACATTGTAAAATTAGAAAAGAAGATGTATTTATCTTAGGTATACTATATCTCCCAGCAGAGCTGGGGTCTCTGCTAGTACTCATATATTTAAACGAAAGAGCCCGTATAATAATAGCATATACTGGGGACACTTATTCTGGGCATATGCCAAAATCTAACAGTTGAGATTAAACAATGTAAAGTCGTGACTTTTGGGATCATAAAAAATTTCAAATGTCTTTTAGGGCGCGTGACCACGAGGAGAGAGCATCGATCATCGCTAGCGGGAAGGTACTTTCTCTCTCTCTCTCTCTCTCTCTCTCTCTCTCTCTCTCTCTCTCTCTCTCTCTCTCTCTCTGTGTGTGTGTCTCTGTGTGTGCCTCTGTGAGTGTGTGTGCGTGTTTGATGGCACGATTTAGAAGGCTACAGTCAGCTCCGGTTGGTTCATTCTCGAGTTCTAAAGCTCATGCGGCGGAAAATGACAATCATTTAACCGACGCTGAAGCATTCTTCAACAGGAGAATTATCCAGTTCGTGAAGAAACGAGTCGCACTTATGGAAAAAGTACTCAACGCAGAATATCATCTGGTAAAAGAGTCTCGACCCCCCTATCATCGTCCCTGTGATTCTAACTTGAGATGTTCCAGGATGACCAAGATATTCCGGCCAATCGCAGTAACAGTGGCATCAAGCCTGGCGAGGGACCAAAAACCTCCTACCAAAAGCCGCAACCCACATTTGTTCTTTATCCAACACCTTTGAGTGAGTTCCTTCGATTTAGACACTAGAAAAAACTCTAACGCGTTCGTTTTTGGACAGCTCCGGAAGAAGTCCTGGGAACAGCACTGGATAACGATCCTAAGCGGCTGAAAGCTCCAGCCTATTACAATGAGGTTGTGTTTGTTTCTCCATTTGCAAAGGTTTGAGAGGCTCACGGCTTTCTCTGTGTCGCCATAGTTGTGCTCGATGATCAGCGAGAACAGGCTCGACGCCTTCCAGACTTATGCGGGAACAAATCCACCAGCATCTGCCTGCGCAGGTGCATTCGGCAGATCGACGTGCTCTGCTCGGAAATGCGACGAGGATTGAGTGAAAGGCGAAGAGGCTATGGTGGATGGAGCTCACGACAGGGACGACGTCTTGGACAACGAGGGGATTCACGTTGTCATCGACGACTAGAATCAAGGTTCTTCACTCTCTTGCTCGTCACTATTCTTCTTTCGGGTCTCTCAAGTCCCTGTTTGTTCCAGGTTCTCAAGGCCGGAACCACGACTAGAATCAAGGTTTTTCACTCTCTTGCTCTTCGCTATTCTCTTTTGAGGCTTAAAGTTCCTGTTTGTTCCAGGTGCTCGAGGCTGGAACCAAGAGAAAAAATAGAAATTTTCGTCCACGGTTCGCTTCCTTGTTCTTCAGTTTTGCGTTTTTAAAGAATTGAGAGGGATTTCTATTTTGCAGCGCTATAAACCCCGTAGTCTCTACA